TAAAATAAGAAAGACATGAGGTGAGGTGAGGTGAGGTGAGGTGAGGTGAGGTGAGGTGAGGTAGGGTTTAACTTTCGTAATTGCATCCATGATTATTGCACTTATATAGCAATGAGCATGTATGTGTGTGTGAGTGTGTGTGTGACTGCTTGTACTAGTCCGGACTGAGATACCATGCCACAGTTTAACATAAATACCCTACTCAAACAGAGTATACTGACTCCAAGTCGACCAGTCCTTGTTTTAGCCCCTTAATGCCGAGCAGCGGACAGGGTAACAACAAGTTCCATCTTTAAACATTGATCGAACCCACTACCACTAGACCACAGCAAATGAAAAAAAGGATACCCACGTTTTACCGTTTCTGTGTATTCATCCTCAATAAGTTTGTATTCTTCTCCAATTGTTGCTCCGTCAGCTACAAACACTTCACGGTTAAGGTCACCGTCCATGTTACGACTTGCAAGGGAACTGGAACATTAGATAAGCCTGAACCCAACTGTATCTGTTGTCATTGGTGGTAGTTGTTGTCATACCACTTTCAACAATCGAAGCAATCCCAATCTTAGCAGTTGGGATCTGAAATATCTCTTTTATGACATCTTATTGTAACAGAAAAAAACCAGATAACTTGTTCTAAAATGTAAGCACCTATTGTGTTATGTTTGTTTGTTATTTAACGCTGTACTCAGCAATATTCCAGCTTCATACCAGCGCTTGTAAATAAATTAGTCGGGACCAGAAAAACCAGTGACTGGTATCATGAGCACTAGTCTACGCAATTTTGGATACGATGACAAGCATTTACCAAGTCAGCAAGTCTGACCACCTGATCCCATCAGTCGCCTTTTATGACAAGCATGGGTTGCTGAAGAATTCTAACCTGCATCTTCTGAGGAAGCCTTCTGTAAGGCATCGAGTATTGATGTGTTACATACCCCACAGATCCAAAAAGATTCTCATTATGATGTCTTTGTCTGATATTTGTTACGGATTCTTCTGACAACTGACAAGGTAACTGTGGACTGTGAAGATAATCTGAAATCATTGATGGCGACAAACTGTGTGATGAAACAGAGTTCTTTGATAGGGTGCTATGGATTTCTTGCACTGAAATTGAAAAGAGTATATCAAATCTTATTATGTCAGAGATTTAAGAACTGCAACATTTGCTTTGTCTCTTGAATGAGTATATGTATCTGATCAGAGTTACATTGACCCATGCTTTCAGTAGGAGTTTCCTTAGTTTGCTTACACTCTTCCTCCTCAAGGTTTCCGCCCTTCCCTTGTAGCAAATATGTCTTAAGGAACTGTGCAAATGGTACGTCATGATCGAGAAGCTCTTCATACGATCCAACTTCAGTTATCTCCCCTTGATCCACTACCACAATAACGTCAACCATTGGTAGCCAGTGAACGCCATGAGTCACAAGTACTCGGGTCTGAAAGCAGAGTCAACAGTTGAACAATATGTAAGTAAAAAATACCATGAATTTGAAAAATACTCGATTTTGATTGGTCAGTTATTGTTTGTATTCATATTTAAATGAGGACATGTACAATTATAGGCTACAAAATGCAAAGTTGCGCTTACTACATGTACAATATTCAAAAGTTGTGTCGCAAAATATTTTGTACAGAAAACTTGATTGAAATCTACAAAGAGAATGTATTTCACTCTGGCGCAGTGGTGACTTAGCATAACACCACTGCCACAGGCTAATTTGCGTGACCAGACATGTCTCTAGTCTGTTAAAAAACACATGCTTATCCTGAAATCAGAACAGACGAGCCTAATCCAAGCTTTTCGGTACGCTTTACATATTGTTTTGCATAATTATATAGATATACTACTGCAACTGCGACAGTGATTTGCCGGACATTTTAGCTTTTCACATCAATCCGACCGTATTGCCAGCTCTCCGTTGGGCCTTGATGACAGCACATGGACCCATACAACCAATGTAAACAAAGGGTAACTACACAAATACAAAAAAGTTTTTGACGTTTTAGGATATTTACTCAATGAAAGTTAACCATTCTATGACATATGTTTGTCTAGAGACTCGTCAAAAATTAAACAGATGAAACACATATGCAATATCTTGAATGTAGTGTATAAGATGTGATGAATCGTCACATGGCGCTGGTCCATGGCAGAGGTACTATGCTGGCTGCATGGAACTCTGGGTAGGTGAGTAGGGTGCCTACCTCATGATGTTACGAAGTTGTCGTGCTACATGCTTTGGGTGCCTGTCATAAGTTTGGGTGAAGTATTAGTTTGCATTCGGTTCCAGCTTCAATTTAGAGCGGGTAAATCTCCAGATAACCTAGCTCTACACTGAAAACACACTCACAGTATGTTTATTTTCTTAATAGGTTATGTGTGACAGGCCATGATTGCCGAGCCCTGAAACAATAGTGATTCTCAACCTATAACAGATTGTTATGTGGCAGTAGAGGTCTTCAGCAACCCATGCTTTTCGTAAGAGTTGACTAACGGGATTAGGTGGTCAGTAATTGTATCTCAATGAGATCCATGAGTGAGTGAGTGAGTGAGTATCGTTTTACGCCGCTTTTAGCAATATTCCAGCAATATCACGACACCAGAAATGGGCTCACACATTGTACCCATTTCGGGAATTGGACCTGGGTCTTCTGAAGATGTGTTTGTCCTATGATACACGATCTGCCCCCTCACCTTGTCCTTCAGCATTCCCTGGTGTCCTATAACATGACTGAAGATGTGTTTATCCTATGATACACGATCTGCCCCCTCAGCTTGTCCTTTAGCATTCCCTGGTGTCCTATAACATGATTGAAGATGTGTTTATCCTATGATACACGATCTGCCCCCTCACCTTGTCCTTCAGCATTCCCTGGTGTCCTATAACATGACTGAAGATGTGTTTGTCCTATGATACACGATCTGCCACCTCACCTTGTCCTTCAGCATTCCCCGATGTCCTATAACATGGCTGAAGATGTGTTTGCCAACATGAGAGACGACAGTACTGAGAGGGTCATCCATCAGATATATGTCCTTGTCACTGTACACAGCTCGGGCTAGAGACACTCTCTGTTTCTGTCCTCCACTCAGGTTGATGCCCTGGAAACGATATTCATACCTGCACTACCCAAAACTATTCCTTTATTTCATTTTCACAATAACTGACACCATAATATAAATGAAATCCTATTTAAAAACTGTTCCTGTATGGCTGCTGCATTGTTTTTCTATATCTGTGTCCACCAGGACTGATTACAAGAGATGTGCATTAGCTACCTTTTCTCCTATCTCTGTGTTGGCTCCACCAGGAAGTGTCTACAGGTCAGACTCCAGGGCACACGCTTTTATAACATCCAGATACCTCTTATTGTCCGTTTCAGAGCCGAAGACAATGTTAGCTTTGAGAGACAAGTTCTGTATCAGGCCTCTTGTGGCACATATGCCACACTTCTCTGAAGGAAGCACAGGGAAGACAATACAGAGCAGTAAACTGCCAGCTGTACAATAATGTAACCAAGATGATCTTTTAAAGTATATATTTGCATCACATTTCTCTTGTTTAACAATGTAGATATGTTTTGAAAAGGGAGATCCCTTGTTATTCGTGTTAAATACTTTTCAACTCATTATCAAAGACAAATTCAAATTTAGAAACTCAACAAGCAATGACAGCCTTGTATATTCCGACATTGAAAGATGACTCAGTTAAGATAGACCCCATCAATCAGCAATTATTTACCATCTCAACTGATTAATCTTTATCTCTGGTAAAGATCTGGAAGGGGTGATCGACGTAAACATACTGTTATGACTAGCTGATGACTGTAAGGACTTTATCTTGCTTGTGTCAGCTAGTACCAAGGTAATATTTTTTTGGTGAATCTTAGTGATCCTGTCAGCACCACAAATACTTGTACCAGGTCGGTCAGCACTCACTTGCATGGCCACGTGGCCCTTCAGTTTCCGCATCTCTCCCAACATGGCTGACAGTAGCGACGATTTGCCTGCACGGACTGACCCCACTATCGCCACTAGCTGACCAATAGGCACAGACAGCTTGATACTGAAAGGGGTAAACGAAATAAAGTGAAACACTTTGTGTTCATTATAACATTCAGGGTCTTGTATCTGTATTGTCCAATGCCATTCCTCGTCAGTATTATTGTCGAATACAGGCACTCTGGTTGTCTTGAACTAATAGTCAGTACGTGAATCATGTTCATATACAGGAATCCTGGTTGTCTTGAACTAATGGTAAGCCAACATATTATTGTCTTTCACTGGCACCCTAGTTGTCTTGAACTAATGGTTAGCCATGTACTATTGTCTTTTACTGGCACTCTGGTTGTCTTGAACTCATGGTTAGCCCACATATTATTGTCTTATACTGGCACTCTGATTGTCTTGAACTAATGGTTAGCCCACATATTATTGTCTTATACTGGCACTCTGGTTGTCTTGAACTAATGGTTAGCCCCCATATTATTGTCTTATACTGGCTGTAACGGGTTGGGGGTGGGGAAAACGTGGTTGTCAGGATGTTTTCAGTCCCATCCCAACCGTCAGTTTCAAAGAGATATTGTTAAAACGGATGTAAAAGAAAACTATAACAAATAATAAAAGTCAATTGAAATCTTTACTTGTTGTTGTTGTTATTAATAATGACAGTTACAATTTCAATATGTACTTGAACTTACTGCAAGTCGTACTCTATTTTTAACGCTTGTCAGTTTTGACAGTTTGATTCTAGACAATTAATTTCTACAAATTCTATTTAATCTACTTGGAAAAGAATAATCACTATGGGCAAAGGCAGAGCCAGTAATGCTGCACGGTAATTGTTATTGGAAAAAACTGTAAACTTGTCTAACTAATCATTATAAAATTTCTAAAAACTGGCTGGGCCAAAAACTACAACTTACCTTGAGTCTGTTATTTCTGCAACTCATTTGGAACGAGATTATATTCGTGGTGACGTCACTTCCGGAAATACATGTAGCAGAAGACGCCAAAAGTTAGAGCGAGAAGAATGCGATTAAACACCAAATATACGACGTGACATTAATTGGGATGGATGTAATCTACTCAATAACATGTCCTGGAAGGTGTTTACGTAAGTATTTTGGAATAAATATATTTACTTTAGTGGATTTAGAGCATGAAACAATTCTGGAATAAACTACCCAACTTTTGATGACGTAAGCACCAGTAGATCGCGGGACTATTTGAGCCGATCACTGGAGCTAACTATAACTGTTAAGTATTCTACTATGAAACATTTAATTGTTCTTATACGTACAATATACATAGTTTTTACACACAAGACGTGTATGTAATAATAAATAATCATATATTTAATAACTATTAAAACTTCAAACGATCGCTGGAACGTGGACGAAAACCGAAGGTCTTGATCGTTTTCGCCCGAGCCTGACTATTACAATAGCGCCTTTTTTAAAAGAAGACTCGTCCCGAGTTAACATTTTTACATAAACATGGTATTATACATTGCATTTCAAGTAGCAAAAATTCTCATCCTGTTAATAATTATACCACTTATAAATATTCATGTTCTTTCCTTCCTTTTTCCTTTTTCCTTAGCCCTTACAAGTTACAGGCAGTTAAAGGGGCACTGATCTAACGCAATTCTCCGGACTTGTTGTTGCCTTTGTTATTGTTTTTTCCCCCGTGAGTAGCTGGATGATACGCTACGCAGCTGAGCGTGACCAGAGACTGGTCTACAGTCTGCAAGGACAGCTAAATAAACTTGGAGGCTGGAGGCAATATTTGTTTTATGCATTTTTGAACAGTTACACTGATTGTTTAACTGTGATCTATAAAGATTTCAACAAAGGGCGCATGTTAATTAATTTCTTCAGCCTAAATGAACAGACAAAAAGAACGGCGGAGCTCATCGGATGTCGTCATTTGGAAATACCCCTGATTGTTGTTGTTTAATAATTAAAAAAAGTATCCATGCAGTGAAAGCATTTTCGGATTTCGGATTGCGTCGATAATACGATTACTACTCCCTTGTTGTCATCCATGTTTTCTGGTATAACCCTACACTTGTGTATTTGTCGTCATTCACTTGATGCTCAGTTAATGAATTTATTACAGGTATAATTAGTGGTAGCACCACTTAGATTACCTGACAAAGGTTCCCATTTGGCATTTTTTGTGTCTGGGGTAATTATTCAATCTAAATACAGGTTTGAAGTGAGGTGAAATGTGTGTTATGTAATATGCACGTGGCAGCCCAGAAAGAGATGAATGATCAGTTGATTTACTTTTTTTGTAAATCAACGGATCGTTTCTAGTCATCAAAGGATTAACAGAAAATACTCAGATTGATTAATCAATATTATCTTGCACAGTGGTTATGTCGAAAGTGAGTGTTTACATGTCTAGGTTTACTAAAGCAAAGGGAATACACTCATATCATGGCGTGAAGTAAAAACAACATACTTTGTTCAAAGGGTTAACCGATAATACGTTGATTGATTGCTCATTGTTATCTAACTCAATGGATTTTTTAGGAACCGTGGACGTTATGAAAACAGTTGTCACGTGGGCTTTCTCAGCCGACCCTTGAGACTTGACACCTATGTGAAACACCTGAAACAATCTAAGTGATCAGTTGAGAAACGAACACGGGTTATAATATCCCGAAACGATATATATCTTTTAAAATATTTGATTGTTACAGAGACACGTGACATCGAATAAGTTTCTTTGTACAGCTGCAGACGTGTAGGATATTCTTCCTTTGTGTGGATATTCACGGATACATTCCTCGAACAAGGAAGCTGCCTAAAATTTATACAAATAAATTTGGTAGGTTGTAATTATGGTATTTGCATTTTGTTTTCCTTCATTTGCTGTAGCATTGAACCGATTCATTCTTGTTCCTCTACATCTTGTTTGGGAAATTCTTCAATGCGCGATAGACGTTGTTTTCACAAGTCTTTTCCTTTGTAAGCGTGTATATATTACCGTCAATTTGTAAAATGTGATTCTCTCAGGCAATTTATAAAATGTGTAAATATTTCAGGCATTTTGACTGAAAAATCTGTCCAGATTGACTAAAATTGATTAAGACGATCCAACGGGCCTAAAAACATCACAACAGATTATTATGTAGGATGAGAAGCCGAACAACATAGAAATGTACTTTTCAACGTAACATTTGCAGTCTCTTGGTGATGACATTAAACATCAAAATGTTTGGAATTCGTTAATAAATTCGTTTAATAAATTTGCAAATGTTACACATTTTGAGAGTAAAAAGATTTATCATATAATGGGCAGGTTTCTCGGCAGGATAAAGCCAACGGATAAAAACGATATCCGTAGGGGTCATATGCGGATAGAGATGCAAATATCAAAGGTCAAGTAGGACTACTTTCACTGTTTATAAACAAACATGGCGTCGTCCTCGTCATTCGGTGATCGAGTCAAAATTAACCATCGGGAATCTGGATAAACAACAGGGATAACTGCTATCATTATCAAAAGAACAGTCTAATATACTGAAAATCAGTGTCTAACTGTGACGTAGCTAAGGCATTTTATAAGTTTGGGCTACTTTGGAGGTATAAATTTCGAAACAATTTTGCGAGGGCGCGAGGCCTAGCCAAGCGGGATCAGTAGCAATATCTGTGCTCGTAGACCTCTGCGACTTGAAAGCTTCTCCACAAATTAAAATAGTAGGATTTGGCTGAAATATGTTTGAATTGTTACCTTGTTTGGTTTTGTGGCTGTGTGTACATCTCACTACACTTCTTAACGTTATGACAGGACAGAACGACTGTCAACAACGTCTGACCGTGCCCGTGACGTCTCATAGACTAGGGTTAGAGTAGCTTCCCTTTGACAAAGGGCAGTTACTCAAGCGGACAGACCGATGGATTGCCGCGAAAGGCAATTAAAAACAACTGTTGTTTTGCGGATATGTTGCTTCGCCACTGTATAAGAAAGAGATTTCAGTTGGAACTATATTGGCTACTGTCACTGTCCGACTGACACATCACTTACCCTGTGACGTAATAAATATTAATGCACGCATTCCAGGAAAACTCGCAATGTTTCGGTAATGTTTGTGAGAGAGGGATAGCGAATTTAAAGCACAGAATTAAAGCATGACATTATATGATAAAGAGATTATCACGCTTGTGTGTTTGGGGATTGTTATTATCCTGTATTAGGAATAAACACTATGTATTTAGCTCGCCAAGGCTCGCTAAATACAATGTTTATTCCTAATGCAGGATATTTACCATCCCCAAACACACTCGCGTGATAACCTCTATATACACACTATAAAAAAAGCAATGCTCCGGTGAAATATTTACTTTGTGTTGCAAGTCAAAATAGTGTAAATGAGAATCGCAAAATTACCAAGCAAGTGACATATCAAAACTTCGTCATCATTACCGATGCTACCCACAAAGATACCTACATTTCCTTATTATCTCGAAAACTGTATTTCATTTTGTTGATCAATGTAACCATACGCCCTTATTACTACCCATAAATAGAGGTTATCACGCGAGTGTGTTTGGGGATGGTAAGTATCCTGCATTAGGAATAAACATTGTATTTAGCGAGCCTTGGCGAGCTAAATACATAGTGTTTATTCCTAATACAGGATATTTACCATCCCCAAACACACACGCGTGATAACCTCTTTATCATATAATGTCATGCTTTAATTCTGTGCTTTAAAATCGCTATCCCTCTCTCACAAACATTACCGAAACATTGCGAGTTTTCCTGGAATGCGCGCATTAATATTTATTACGTCACAGGATAAGTGATGTGTCAGTCGGACAGTGACAGTAGCCAATATAGTTCCAACTGAAATCTCTTTCTTATACAGTGGCGAAGCAACATATACGCAAAACAACAGTTGTTTTTAATTGCCTTTCGCGGCAATCCATCGGTCTGTCCGCTTGAGTAACTGCCCTTTGTCAAAGGGAAGCTACTCTAACCCTAGTCTATGAGACGTCACGGGCACGGTCAGACGTTGTTGACAGTCGGTCTGTCCTGTCATAACAGTCAGATGTACACACAGCGACAAAACCAAACAAGGTAACAATTCAAACATATTTCGGCCAAATCCAACTTTTTTAATTTGTGGAGAAGGTTTCAAGTCGCAGAGGTCTCCAAGCACAGATATTGCTACTGATCCCGCTTGGCTAGGCCTCGCGCCCTCGCAAAATTGTTTCGAAATTTATACCTCCAAAGTAGCCAAAACTTATAAAATGCCTTAGCTACGTCACAGTTAGACACTGATTTTCAGTATATTAGACTGTTCTTTTGATAATGATAGCAATTATCCCTGTTGTTTATCCAGATTCTTGATGGTTAATTTTGACTCAATCGCCGAATGACGAGGACGACGCCATGTTTGTTTATAAACAGTGAAAGTAGTCCTACTTGACCTTTGATATTTGCATCTCTATCCGCATATGACCCCAACGGATATCGTTTTTATCCGTTGGCTTTATCCTGCCGTGAAACCTGCCCATTATATGATAAAAATGACTAATGCGCTTACGTATGGCGCAGCAGAGGTCGCGAACTAGTCTAGATTTCTGCTCTTCATCCGGGTACTCACTGGGAAAAAACAATAACAAAGGCAACAACCAGTCCCGGGGAATTGCTTTAGATCAGTGCCCCTTTAAAGAATGGGGTTTGTTGTGCAAGAATAACAATAATTCAACTTATTACATGTTATATTACATCATTTACATTCAATTATAACTTCTTACCTTGTTGATTATCAATGGACACCGTTATAATACTTACTTTTCCCAAGAAATGGAAATCCAAGAATTAATATCCTTAGATATGAAAACACATTCTTATTATAATAATAAGGTAATCCTTCACCAGGAAATATGTCAGTGAAGCACAGTTATCAGTCTGAAAACACAATCTTTGGTTCTTGAAAACACAGTTCAGTTTCTTCACACACAGTTCTTGAATAGAATGTTCTGTCCTTTTCAAGGATATGGGTCTGGCTGTTTTCCACATGAATCAATGAACACAAGAATACATCTCAAAGAAATCAAGAGAGAAAAGATAAGATGATCAATGAAAGAAAAGATAAGAGCCTTCATAAAAAGAAATTGCAAGAAAAATTAGAAGGAAATTTCCTCTCCAAGACAGATTATTATGCCGGCTGACTGCCACTGCCATGTGCCATACCTCGGATGAAGGCGTCAGCTGGTCAACGCAATTTTCATTTCGTTCCACTTCAACAGTCACATCTGTGCAAAGCTTATCAACCTGAGAGGTAATAACATTGGAATTTAAATGCTTGTGCGCAATATGGTACTTTAAACCTTTTAGTGAAGTACGACAATCATGACACTTCTTTACAGGGCAAGCAAATGATTTATGCACCCTGTGATGCGTTCGCGCCCAATGTTCTTCAAAGTCACGTCGCGATGCAAAGGTTTTAGTGTCAAGGCAGGCAGGGCAGTCCATATTTGGCATGAACTTTATAAACTTCATTGCTGGCGCCCCCTCCATAACCTCTGTATGCTCCGATCCCCATTGCATGATCTCCTCTTCATCAACATCTAGGTTGAGAACGTCAGCCATCCTTTGACTGCAAATAAGGAGTAAGTAACGCCTGCATGAGATATGTTGTAACTTCAACAGTGCTTATCACTTTTCTATATTCTAGATACATCCTAGGAATCATAATCTATCATCAGCTTCCTCAGTGAGAACTAGAGTGAATCCCATACCAATCAACCATATCCAGTAAATAGTTTAGAAAGCTTACATCAAGCCCAAATTTTAAATCTTTACCACTTAAAAGATATGTTGTTTAACATTCAACTTTCGTGCCAGACATTCCCTAGATCACATTTTGATCTGTTGCATCCACAATGCAACCGCAATATTCATATCTTCATGAAACTAAAGTATAAAGGGGTCTGACAATATGTAGGAAAACAAGTGAAATATGATTGTTTTCAGATTCATTTGGAATAACAGTACACTAACAGTATGTGAGAATTACTGAGAAGTCCACCATGTTGGAGGATCATCTCCCTCATAGGGCAGAAGTCTGTCAACATGGACAACCCAAGGTGAGCTATTTGAACCATCCTGTATACGGTAAGTCACATCATCAATCTGTTTGATGACCACCCATCCCTTCTTCCAGCGAGTAATGAACTTCCTGCTGGACGGGAGGTTCTTCCCAGGATTATATAACCACACTGGTTGTCCAACCTTGAGTCGAAACTCTTTAGTCCCCACATCGTACCTTTTCTTCCGGATTTCAGAAGAATGTTTAAGGCTATGGCGGGCAGACTCAAAGGCATATTCAAACCTCTCCCTGAGTTTCTCAACATACTCGTCATGCTTCTGAGCATTTTCATTTGGGTTTCCGGTAATAAGTTGGATTGGTAACCGGACTTCCCTACCCAATGTTAGTTCATTTGGCGTAAAACCAGTAGACTCATGTCTAGAAGATCTGTAAGCTGCAATGACATAGGGAAGGTGCTTGTCCCATGATTTTGGTTTCCCATCTGCATATATGCAGAGCATGGCACCCAAGGTACGGTTAAAACGCTCAACCTGGCCATTGGCTTGCGGTCGAAGAGCTGTTGTCCTTGTTTTCACAATGCCAAGCAACTTACAGAGTTCTTGGAAGAGAGTAGCCTCATATTGTCTGCCCTGGTCACTGTGTATTAGTGCAGGTGTACCAAAGCGACAAACCCACTCTTCCACTATCTTCTTGGCTACTGTTTTAGCCTCAATGTTTGGAATGGCGTAGGCCTCAGTCCACTTTGTAAAGACATCTGTAACCACCAAAATGAACTTGTTACCAGACTGTGTATGATCGAGCAGCCCCATAATGTCAGTAGTAAGTCGCTCCATAGGTGAGCCAGTTACATACTGCTTCATAGGTGCTCTCTGCTTCGAGGGTCTTTTCCGAGCAGCACACTTGTCACATTTGGTACAATGTTGTCTTATGTCTTTTTTCATGTCAATCCAATAATAAGACTGTTGGATTTTTTGGAGAGTTTTCTGCAGCCCCAGGTGACCTCCTAAAGGAGAATCATGATTATGGGTGAGGATCAGGCGACGTTTACAAGTTGGCATGACAATCTGCCAGTGCCATCGTCTGCCATCTTTGTTCTCCCACCTCCTATGGAGTACCCCTTGTCTAATAGACAACCGATCATTTTGTCCCCACAGAGCCTTACAAGCACTCGAGGTGGCAGACACCTCTTTCCACTGTGGACTGACATTATTAGCTCTGACCTCGTAGATGAGTGCAATATTCATCATCAGCCAACTGAAGATTTTTCAGTTCATCTGGAGACAATTGTTCATAATGAATGGCAGTTTGGGTCATACTCCCAGTCTTTGCCGACTTGGACCTAGTCACTACACCACAAATGCTTGGAGATGAATCCGGGCCGGCGCATTGTTTGCTGCAAGGTCCATCTTCTCGTTTGCATTGAGGACATGGTACACAAGGTCGGCGACTTAGGGCGTCTGCATTCCAATGAATGCGCCCAGGTCTATGAACTTCATTTAAGTCATAATTGCTCAGTTCTTGTAAACCACCTGGCCATCTGATTTACAGGTTTCTTAATCCGCTTGGCCCAAACCACAGCAGAATTATCGGTTCTTTTAATGACAGGCCATCCAAATACATAGGGATACCAGTACTGACAAGCAGTCACTACTGCAAGAAGTTCACGTTGAGTAACACAGTAGTTCCTCTCTGCTGCAGAGAGAGTCTTACTGAGGTATCCCAGAACTACTTCCCGACCTTGCATTTGTGCCATAACTGCGCCTAGTCCTTCACCTGAAGCATCAGTGTCAATGATAACTTGGCCTTCTGTTTGAGGAAAACCAAGAATCGGAGCGGAAGTAAGAGCGACCTTTAAGCTCATAAAAGCTTGGTCTGCTTCACTACTTCACTGGAACTCTACTAGTTCACTAGTCAGTCTGGTTAATGGTTTTGCAATCTTTGAAAAGTTTTCAACAAATCGCCTGTAGTAGTTTGCTAAACCTAAAAACCTCAAAACATCTTTGTGACATTTTGGTGTAGGCCATCCTTTTACAGCTTCTATTTTTTCAGGTTGTGTGTGGACACCATATGCCGAAATCACATGCCCGAAAAAGTTCACTTTTGTCTGAAACAAGTGACATTTTTTAGGCTTCAGCTTCAACCCAGCTGCGATAAATCTGTCCAAGACCATTTTGAATCGTTCAAGGCATTGTTCAAAGTCTGTCCCAAAGACATTTATGTCATCAAGAAAACAGAGGCAGTCTTCCCATTGAAGACCTCTGAGCACTGTCTCCATCAAACGCTCAAAAACACTTGGTGCATTGCACAGACCGAATGGCATAACTGTCCACTCATATAACCCAGATCTTGTGACAAATGCGGTCTTTTCACGATCTTTAGGGTCCATCTCTACCTGCCAATACCCTGCTTGTAAGTCCATCATGCAGAACAGTTTTGCACCACCTAGACTATCAATACAGTCTTCTATTCTCGGTAGAGGGTATGAATCTTTTTTGCTTGAAAGATTCAACAAACGATAGTCACAACAAAATCTGTAACAGCCATCACTATGCTGCACTAATACAGTTGGTGAAGCCCAAGGACTAGTAGAGGGTGTGATTACACCTTGCTCTAACATCCGAGCAACTTCTTTTTGCTCTGCTGGCGTCTAGGGGCCTGCTTGATTGGTTTAGCATCACCTGTATTGATAGTGTGCTTGACCAAACCAGTGCGCCCCAAATCATCCTCATTCTTAGCAAAAGTATTTTTATAAGAAGAAAGGACATCTTCCAATTTCTCCTTTTGAGATACATTAAAATTAGATTTACTTCTGTCAAAGAGATCTTTAAGATAATCAGGAATTACTGCACTTTGGACATTAAGTTTTGCAATTTTCTTGACCTTTTTGTTTGAAGGCAAAGTAACACTTTGACATTGAGCCAAAATTCTACCAGAGGTAAGAGTAATTGGGTTATCTGTCACATTAATGACTTTAACATAAGCTGCGTTAGCCCTGTTGACAACACCATTACCCATGAGAAGACCACTTTGAACTAAAATCTCCTTACATGGCTCCACAAGAACATTCTTAGTGTTCTGTTGATTATCAGGTAAGGACAGTTTAACTAAGACACTGACTGTGGTGGGACCAAGGTATTATCAGCTACTATTGCAGTTCTATCAGCTGCAAAAGTAGGTAACCAAACTACCTGTAATTTGATCTTGTGATCTGCAAGATCAACTACAGCACCTAGAGCAGTGAGTATGTCCATGCCCAAAATACCATCAACTTCGAACAAGTTCTCAATCTCAGATACAAGAAATTCTTCCTGAGTAGGTTCCATGTCCTCGTTTATATTCAGCAGTGCCTTGAATATTCCGTTCACAGGAAACAAACTTACATTAACGGCTTCCAATGACAAATCAATCGGACTAAGTGCGACAGAACGAGGAAGACGCTTGTAAGATCTAGGAGATAACAAAGACACCTGGCTACCAGTGTCCACTAACAAGGTAAAGTAAGTGTTACTAAGTTTTACGTTCACTAACTGGCCTTCATCGCCTATTTTAAAACAAGGTCTCATCATTGCAATAGCTCCGTGTGAATCAGCTGTGAGAGAATATTGTGGTTGCACCTCTGCTGCAATCCTATCCTCTTCCAGTTGACCACTTGAGTCTATTAGCTTAGGGTTCAATATAACATTGTCATCCACCAAATCCCGACCTAAGTCCGAGATGGTGGTTTGGGGTTTCCCTGTGCCTGCTTCGGAACTGCTCTACCAGGTGACTGATTAACACACTGCGATGTCCAATGTCCAGGTTTATGACAGTTTGAACAAAATGAATTTGCTCTGTTGTCACGCCTAGATGAACTCTGAGCGTGCCTCTATTTTGGGTACGCCCCGGACTGCCATAAGGAGTCTGGCTCATTGAATTGTTTTGTGTCATGGGGCTATGACTTTCATCAGCCCTATAATGCGATTTTTCTTGCACTTGAGACAACCTCTCAACAGTCTTTTGCAAGTCTGCCAGCTGTTTTGAAAAATCATCGAGTTTATTCTCAACAATTCTCTCTGGCGACTCAAAATGTACTTTTCTCACTGCAGGTTGTGGATATGCAGTGGCTCTCACAGATCGCTGAGTGGTCCGACAGTTTGGTCCGCCCAACACAGACTCGTACATCTCTGCAACATCAACCGCTCCTTGTAGCGTGCAAACACTCTTGTCAAGGAATCGGAGACGGAGATCTTTGTCTACAGCTCTTTTGAGAGCATCTAGCGCCAATCTCTCCTGGAGGCCATCATCCAGATCAGGATAGGCTTCCTGGACAAGTCGCCAAACATCGTCTCTCAAGTCTGCTTTTGACTCCCCAGGCTTGCGGTTCCGGTTGATAAATTCTTCCTGCTTAACATCAGGGAAACTACTACCGTACCGTCTCCGAAGAGTATCGGCAAGCCATTGGTAGTCGTAGCGACTTCGCTCAGGTAACCTTGCATAAAACACCTGTGCTGCTCCTTCCAGAGCACATCCCAGCATATCTGCACACTGCTGGTCAGTCCATTGTGACTGTCTAGCGACATTCCTGAACTGAGCCTCGAAGGCAGCATAATCCCCCTTACCACTGAACTTTGGCAAGTGCAAGGAGATACGCGCCACAGGAGTAGCTCTGGAATCAGGTCGTCTGACATCCATGGCGTTAACCCGCTCGGCTAAGCTCAAAACTGTTTTTGAGAGCTGTGCCATGATGTTAACCATGTTAGTCTCATTCTGATCATTCTGCTGGTCATTCCTACCAATAGGTCTATATAACACATTGTCATACAAAGATGGTGAGTAGTGCCTGTTTGAGTCCAGTGGCTGCAAATTTCCCTGAAAACTTTGCTGCCGGCCATGACCATGTAAGTCTCCTTCACTGAAGGACCTACTCGGATCAACAAACCTGGCGCTATTTTCTCTGGCTGCACCTTCCTCATGGTAACCATCTGCCATTGGTCTGCGACTTTCACTCGCGACCTGTTCTCTTACATTTAGGTTATCAACAATTTGTTGTCTGCGAGACCTTGAATTAGTTGCAGGGCCTTCCATTGCAGAGTTTATCAGAAAAACTGTTTTGATAATGATCCATAACTACACAAATAAGTTAAGTAAAGTTTCAACATTATCTCCATTTATCCAAAAAGCATATCCCACTTCTGACACCATTAAACTGTAACGGGTTGGGGGTGGGGAAAACGTGGTTCTCAGGATGTTTTCAGTCCCATCCCAACTGTCAGTTTCAAAGAGATATTGTTAAAAACGGATGTATAAGAAAACTATAACAAATAATAAAAGTCAATTGAAATCTTAACTTGTTGTTGTTATTAATAATTTCAATATGTACATGAACTAACTGCAAGTCGTACTCTATTTTTAACGCTTGTTAGTTTTGACAGTTAGATTCTAGACAATTAATTTCTACATATTCTATTTAATCTACTTGGAAAAGAATAATCACTATGCGCAAAGGCAGAGCCAGTAATGCTGCACGGTAATTGTTATAGAAAAAACTGTAAACTAGTCTAACTAATCATTATAAAATTTCTAAAAACTGGCTGGGCCAAAAACTACAACTTACCTTGAGTCTGTTATTTCTGCAACTCATTTGGAACAAGATTATATTCGTGGTGACGTCACTTCCGGAAATACATGTAGCAGAAGATGCCAAAAGTTAGAGCGAGAAGAATGCGATTAAACACCAAATATACGACGTGACATTAATTGGGATGGATGTAATCTACTCAATAACATGTCCAGGAAGGTGTTTACATAAGTATTTTGGAATAAATATATTTACTTTAGTGGATTTAAAGCATGAAACAATTCTGGAATGAACTACCCAACTTTTGATGACGTAAGCACCAGTAGATCGCGGGACTATTTGAGCCGATCACTGGAGCTAACTATAACTGTTAAATATTACTATGAAACATTTAATTGATCTTATACGTACAATATACATAATTTTTACACACAAGATGTGTATGTAATAATAAATAATCATATATTTAATAACTATTAAAACTTCAAACGAAGGTCTTGATCGTTTTCGCCACTGGCACTCTGGTTTGTCTTCAACTAATGGTTAGCCCACATATTATTGTCTTATACTGGCACTCTGGTTGTCTGTATATCCATTGTGCTTATGTACATTCATCATCATACATTTGCAGGTATGGATAGAATAGTGTAAGGATATCCATCTCTAATGACAAGATTCATTACAGTAGTTACTTTTTCAAGGTAGACTCTGATCCAGTGCTCCACGTGAAAGTGGCTTTATCAATACTGATTGCAACTCCTGAAATAAGAAATATGAGAACACCATATCATTTTGATTTTAAGCTAAAGAAATACTGCAAAATACTAAATCCACGTCAGTTGTTCAATTACTCAAAAGGGACATGATATTGATATTAAATAATAAGATCATTACAAGACAACAAATCCAAGGTGCTTGCAGATAACTTTCAACGTAGACATTGTGGTACCAACTTCATTCAACTCATGACAGTTTTCTTGCAATTCAAACTATTTTGTTTAGTTAGCAAAACAACATCTTGAGAACAAACGTCTCATACCGAGAGATGACATTCCCATGTGTGCCTTGATCAAAAATCTGTTTGCAGATTATATATGATAAAAGATGTAGAAATTTAAAAATATTAATATTAGTTCATGTTCACTTAAAAAACGGGGGGAGGGGGTTCAACTAGCCACTTCACATCCGTATATTCTCAATAAACAGATACTCGACCTTCTGCAGTGTCGGCTGACACTGTGCTGGGATCAAGGTCCTCTTCAGCAAGATATTTGTTCAGGCGCTTTGTTGACAAGCTTGCCCGAAGTGAAGACAATGAATTTACATCTTGGTTCTAGTTGGTATGGGGTGGTCGGGTAGCCTAGTGGTTAAAGCATTCGATTGTCATGCCCGGGTTCGATTCCTGACATGGGTACTATGTGTGAAGCCCATTTATGGTGTCCCCTGCCGTGATATTGCTGGAATATTGCAAAAACAGCAGTGTAAAACCATACTCACTCACTCACTCACTAACTCTAGTTACTTAGTATATCAGCTTTGACTATAAGAAATATGACCATCAAGCTACGAAAATACACTGATGTTCATTACAAATATAATCTGTGCCAGAGTTGATATAAAGTACTACCTGTGCAAGAGTTGATAAACAAGTACTAGGTGTGCCAGAGTTGATTTACAAGTACTAGGTGCGCAAGAGTTGATATACAAGTACTACCTGTGCCAGAGTTGATAAACAAGTACTACCTGTGCAAGAGATGATATACAAGTACTACTTGTGCAAGAGTTGATATACAAGTACTACTTGTGCCAGAGTTGATATACAAGTACTACCTGTGCCAGAGTTGATATACAAGTACTACCTGTGCCAGAGTTGATATACAAGTACTACCTGTGCAAGAGTTGATATACAAGTACTAGGTGCGCAAGAGATGATTTACAAGTACTAACTGTGCAAGAGTTGATATACAAGTACCAGCTGTGCAAGAGATGATATACAAGTACTACCTGTGCCAGAGTTGATATACAAGTACTAGGTGTGCAAGAGATGATATACAAGTACTACCTGTGCCAGAGTTGATATACAAGTACTAGGTGTGCAAGAGTTGATATACAAGTACTACCTGTGCCAGAGTTGATATACAAGTACTACCTGTGCAAGAGATGATATACAAGTACTACTTGTGCAAGAGTTGATATACAAGTACTAGGTGTGCAAGAGTTGATATACAAGTACTACCTGTGCCAGAGTTGATATACAAGTACTACCTGTGCAAGAGATGATATACAAGTACTACTTGTGCAAGAGTTGATATACAAGTACTACTTGTGCCAGAGTTGATATACAAGTACTACCTGTGCCAGAGTTGATATACAAGTACTACCTGTGCAAGAGTTGATATACAAGTACTACCTGTGCCAGAGTCGATGTACAAGTACTACCTGTGCAAGAGTTGATATACAAGTACTAGGTGCGCAAGAGATGATTTACAAGTACTAACTGTGCAAGAGTTGATATACAAGTACCAGCTGTGCAAGAGATGATATACAAGTACTACCTGTGCCAGAGTTGATATACAAGTACCAGCTGTGCAAGAGATGATATACAAGTACTACCTGTGCCAGAGTTGATATACAAGTACTAGGTGTGCAAGAGTTGATAAACAAGTACTACCTGTGCAAGAGATGATATACAAGTACTACTTGTGCAAGAGTTGATATACAAGTACTACTTGTGCCAGAGTTGATATACAAGTACTACCTGTGCCAGAGTTGATATACAAGTACTACCTGTGCAAGAGTTGATATACAAGTACTACCTGTGCCAGAGTTGATATACAAGTACTACCTGTGCAAGAGTTGATATACAAGTACTAGGTGCGCAAGAGATGATTTACAAGTACTAACTGTGCAAGAGTTGATATACAAGTACCAGCTGTGCAAGAGATGATATACAAGTACTACCTGTGCCAGAGTTGATATACAAGTACCAGCTGGGGAAGAGTTGATATACAAGTACCAGCTGGGGAAGAGTTGATATACAAGTACTACCTGTGCAAGAATTGATATACAAGTACTACCTGTGCAGGAGTTGATATACAAGTACTACCTGTGCAAGAATTGATATACAAGTACTACCTGTGCAGGAGTTGATATACAAGTACTACCTGTGCCAGAGTTGATATACAAGTACTACCTGTGCCAGAGTTGATATGCAAGTACTACCTGTGCCAGAGTTGATAAACAAGTACTACCTGTGCCAGAGTTGATATACAAGTACTAGGTGCGCAAGAGTTGATATACAAGTACTACCTGTGCCAGAGTTGATATACAAGTACTACCTGTGCCAGAGTTGATATACAAGTACTACCTGTGCCAGAGTTGATATGCAAGTACTAGCTATGCAAGAGTCGATATACAAGAACTAGCAGTGCCAAAGTTGATATTTAAGTACTACCTGTGCATGAGTTGACATTCAAGTACTACCTGTGCCAGAGTCTAGATGCACATGGGCAGCATGTTCATAGCCCCCCTCAGATAGTTGAAGAGAGCGATGGAGACGAAGGCCGTTCGGGAGTTCATGAACGCGGTAGGAGATGTCATGATGTATGTTACAAAGCAGGCAATCGTTATCTGAAAACCATATCAGGGAGCACTGTGAGTTATACCGGCTGAGGTTTCTTGCAATAGTCATATTAAAGTGTGATATTCTCAAAGGTATTAAAACAACCCTAAATAAAATGGAGTGGGATTTAGTGATAAAGGTAGACTTTACACATAGCTCACCTGCTGTATATGTATGTATTAGTCATATATTGGTCATATAGACCCGTGAAGATCTGGGGTACAATAGGTCTTCAGCAACTTATGTTTGCCATAGAAGGCCACTATGCTTGTCGTAAAAAGTGACAATAGCATCGGGTGGTCAGGCTCGCTGACTTGGTTGATGCATGTCATTGTATTCCAATTGCGTGGATTGATGCTCATGATGTCACTGGATTGTCTGATCCAGACTTGATTATTTACAGACTGCCGTCATATAACTGGAATATTGCTGAGTGCAACGTTGAACAACAAATATTTTTTTTATTTGAAGGTTCCATTGGCTGAGAGGTTGGTCACATGACCGCGAAATTTACGTACATAAGTGTATCCTAGTGAACAAAAGCTCTGACATTCATAAAGTTTGGCCCTCACTCTATGAAGGTTCATACTCCAATGAACTCACACAAAGTGAATGTCAATTCTTAAATAAACAAACAAACAAAAAAGTCATATAACCATGTCCTACTCAGTTTTGTACCACTTGCTTGATAAAGTCTGTAGCATTATAGAATGAATTCATGTGTCCATTTTGCCTTCACGTTACAATGGCACTAAATGGATAAGATATTGGAGTGATGCTGATTTCCTTTTAACAAGCAAATACCGCTTCTCATTCATTGTTTAATGAAAGGGCATAGACAGACAAGCTGGGTGACATACCAGTGTTGGGAAGCCTATCCACAGGAAGACAAGCAGGACCTCAAACAGAGCTATTTTCATCAGGACTTTCGTCTCCTTCTCCCTGATGACCATGATCTTGTCCCTAAATGAGCCCTCCCATGCATAGAGTTTCAGCACCTTCAGGAACAAAAACAAAAGTCATCATGAATCATGGACTCTTAAACACATGTTGGTGTTACTGTTTGCAACATGGTGCTGTATGTAGATGTATCCTACAATCACAGTGTTGCAGTTCAATTCCTAAAATTCATTTATTGCAGAACGTGTTTCTTTGTTGTAACATAGCCTTCAGCTACTCTGTGTCACTTAGGGCTCACACATTCAGGATTTTGACTGCAGTCCTTCATAGGACCTTCCCTGATTAAAATTTGTCTAAAGTCTGATCAAGATCCTGTGATCTGGGCGGGAAATTCACAAACAATCAGATATTGATCAGGAAGCGTCCCGATTCAGCCGTTTCCAGCCGAATTCGTCCAGATTCTCCCATTCTTAATCCGAATCTGATCAGATTTGTATCTTCCGCATAGTAAAAAACGACTAAATCTGTCCCGACAGCGTCCCGATTCTCCCGAATGCAGTCAGACAGAGATCAGACAGTGACTGGACAGTTAACCGACAAAGACAGTTCACATTCGGCAAGATCTGGACGCAATCTGGACTCAATCGACAAGAAACGGCAATGAACAATTCATGCCCGTTCATCACGACAGCATCCCGATCCACAGGACACCGTCCAGACAACACAGGACCTTGTTACAATTTTGATCCCATACAGCAGAATCTGTCACGACATAGTCACGATTGTAATCACACTAGACAGAATTGGCTTAGTTTCCCAAATGTTACGGGACGCACCATACTGGCCGAGTGCTTGGCCGATCTCTCTGCACCTTTCCTGATCCGTAGGACTCTGTTACGAAAGTATACGACTGCGTTCAGACGCATGTCAACATCCCAGCAATAAGTTCCTGTATCGTATAGTGTTACATCAGTACCTTGCCAAACAATAATAACAGTTGTAATAATAAGTCTTTTCTTGTTCTTGATTGGTTTGTTGGTTGGTTGGTTGGTTTGTTGTTTAACGCCGCACTCAGCAATATTCCAGCTATATGACGGCGGTCTGTAAATAATCGAGTCTGGACCAGACAATCCAGTGATTGATATCATGAGCATCGATCCACGCAATTGGGATCGATGACCTGCATCAACCAAGTCAGCGAGCCTGACCACCCGATCCCGTTAGTCGTCTTTTACGACAAGCATAGTCGCCTTTTACGGCAAGCATGGGTTGCTGAAGACCTATTCTACCCCGGATCTTTCTCGTTCTTGAAGGGACTGGTCACTTATTTTAGGGTGTGTGTGGTGTGGGGAGATTGGTCTTTGGTCTTTATTGTAATATACTGCCACCCCACTCTGACCCACCCCCTTTTCTCCATGCCCCCCCCAATACATGTAACAATTTGTCATTACACCCAACCCAAATCCCTAAATGTCCACTCCTCCCCTCTCTATGATAAATGACCAGAGCTTAATCTTTTAAAGTCTACTCACTAGTTTTGCTACTGTAAGTTTTGAAAGCTGCAGGCGTTGTTGGAGTGACAGGATGTGCCTGAGGAAGGCCGGGAGAGTCAGCCACAGCCAGCCACACGGCACCCACACCAGCACTGTGTGATGGAAGCATGGTGAGAACTCTGGCCACGTGTTGTTCAACAACAGATCCACGTCCTGGAATACAGAACATATTATTGGGGGAGGACCGTCATATGTGGAGGTGGAGGAAAAAGACCTGGAGAGTCAGCCACAGCCAGCCACACGGCACCCACATCATCACTGTGTGATGGAAGCATGGTGAGAACTCGGGCCACGTGTTGTTCAAAAACAGATCCACATCCTGGAATACAGAACATATTATTGGGGAAGGACCGTCATATGTGGAGGTGGAGGAAAAAGACCTGGAGAGTCAGCCACAGCCAGCCACGCGGCACACACACCAGTACTGTGTCATGGAGGCATGGTGAGAACTCTGGACACTGATGGCTGAACGAGTATTGAATGCATAGTCCTGTTTGAGATATGTTATACATACTGGGGGTTGGTTTTTGGTTGGTTGGTTTGTTGTTTTACGCTGCACTCAGCAATATTCCAGCTATATGACGGCGGTCTGTAAATAATCGAGTCTGGACCAGACAATTCAGTGATTGACATCATGAGCATCGATCCACGCAATTGGGATCGATGCCATGCATCAACCAAGTCAGCGAGCCTGACCAACCGATCCCGTTAGTCGCCTTTTACGACAAGCATAGTCGCATTTTACTGCAAGCATGGGTTTCTGAAGACCTATTCTACCCGGATCTTCACAGGTCTCACATGCTGGAGGAATCCCCTCACAAGAGCCTGCTGTATATTTACCACAACCGTCATTGTCTTAACTAGGCTGATGTTCTGTAGAGTAGCTGCCTGCAGTAGTCATTACTGACAACATCTCATGTTAATATTTCATGGAAATGATGCCACAAGAGAACTTTTCCAAGAATAGAGCTAGGGCACATAAAACTAAACATTTCCAAAGCTACAGCTCTGACATTACAGTTATGTTTGTTTGTTTGTTTGTTATTTAACGCCGCACTCAGCAATATTCCAGCTATATGACGGCGGTCTTGAAAATAATCGAGTCTGGACCATTGCTCCTGGAACTCCAAGCCATTCTTTTATTCAGGTCACCATGTCCCTGTCTGTGGCTTTTGAGACCACAGCTGCAGACATCCTCCTCAGCTTGTTTACAAATGATAGCCATAACATGTCAGTGTACTATTATAAGTAATTTGTTTGGCAAACTCTTTCTCAAACTGTTCCATGTACTCTGACAATTACAAGTAATGAACTTCACAAGTGTGTCAAAAACAAGTTATTGATAGCATAATGAAATAAAAGAATAACTTATACCCTGTTCACATGCACCTCTATACATCCGTGTATATACTATTGTGTGACACCTGTTAATGAGTAAATTGATAAGTTTATAATATGTATAAATAAGTAAATTGATGAGTCACTCGGTATATGTAAATAAGTAACTTGAATTATGTATAATGATATGCAAATTAAATAACATAAGAACCCCCCCCCCCCAAAAAAAAATATAGAATGGTAGGTCCCTAATTAGTCTCCAATAAATATGTTCATCCCAATAAACATCCCCTATAACCACATGAGAAGCCCAACCCCCTCCCCTAATCTTGCTGGAGAACAGTTTTTAGGTGTGCAATCAATCTTGTATGTACATGTACATCAAAAATAAGTTAACATGAAATTTTCTTTGTAAGATGACCTCAGTTAGTGCCAGGGGCCCTTTATAGGGCAAACCTAATATTAAACATTTGCTTATAAATATTTCAATCAGAAACATGTATCAGACTTTGAGTAAATTGTCCATACTTAATACATCCAAAGAAATTTAATCCACTCACCAGTGCTCTCTCAGTTGCTCCATTTTGAAAAGCTGCTAGGAGTTCATTCAGCACATCCATTTTTGCCAAAAGACAATGGCTGAATGTCAGGGTTTTCTTAAATAGAAATATAAGAATATTATTGGTTACTTTTTAAAAGAGGCTATGAAGTTTGTGTAGCAACAGTGAGCACACAGCTAGGATCATGATGATGTTAATGAGGTTGAGGGGAATATTGCTCAAAATAATAAAGTAACTTTTAAATTAGAGACTTTCCTTTATTCATACATCTTATCTCATGTATTTGCATTTGTACAAACGACCCTTATATGCAGCCTTGTAGCAGAAATAATAGTTACCCTATTTGACGTAATAAGCGCCAAGGGCGCTCTCAAAATTAGAAATAGGGGGCTCTTATTAGAATATTATTTTACTGAAAAAAATAGAGTTGAAAGATAAATTTTGTGGTTTATGCTGACAGCCAGAAATGTTTATATATTTTTTCAGAGTTTAATTGCCAATAATTTAGGGTGCATATTACACACGAGTGCGTATTATACATGAATAAATAGGTCCTGTGTACATTGATCAATCGGAAGGGGTGCTAATTGGGATTGTTCACTAGCCAATATATTAGGAAATATCACCGCTGGCGCTTATTAGAGCGGGGCGCTTATTACGTCGAACACGGTATACTTTTAAAAAAAAGCCATAGCCATCCATTGAAAAGCAGTGAGACTATTCCCATATTGACATGATATTGGACAAATCCCCGTGAAGCCTGGTTACCACAAAACTCATTTCATTTACTATATGATGAATTCACTATGTATGTCGACTATATCACTGTAAACCAAAAGTGCAAATAAATGTTTATCATTAAAAGACCTGCCACAAAGGTATGTACATATTACAAACACTTGTATGCAAAAAATAGCAGCAAAGTAGCAGGGACAAGGAATTTCATACAGAATTACATTGCTGGTATACACAGGAAAAGGGCCCATAATAAACTGAAATGATATATCTTTAGTTAGAATAAATCAACTTTGAAACGGGGCTCTGGAAAGTGTTTTTCTACAAATGGATAATGACCTGAAAAATCTGTACTGCAGCATCCATATTTCCTCATAAAATTTTTACCATTATTTTGAATTTTTATTTAATACATGGCATGTTGTGTTGTAATATATATCTGTCATCAATCACCTTTGAAATAGTGCTCTGGAAATATATCTTTTAATATTTTATCCAGTATTTCATCACAAATGTACATACATTTCTTAACGTCTTCACTGGGTCTTGTAATATCTATTTACTTAAGCATCTCACCTTTGAAACAGTGCTCTGGAAATATATTTTTTAACATTTTATCCAGTATTACATCACAAATGTACATACATTTCTTAACCTAATAAGACTACCATACGTCTTCACTGGGTCTTGTAACATTTATTTAGCATCTCACCTTTGAAATAGTACTCTGGATATATATGTTTAATATTTTATCCAGTATTACATCACAAATGTACATACATTTCTTAACGTCTTCACTGGGTCTTGTAATATCTATTTACTTAAGCATCTCACCTTTGAAACAGTGCTCTGGAAATATATTTTTTAACATTTTATCCAGTATTACATCACAAATGTACATACATTTCTTAACCTAATAAGACTACCATACGTCTTCACTGGGTCTTGTAACATTTATTTAGCATCTCACCTTTGAAATAGTACTCTGGATATATATGTTTAATATTTTATCCAGTATTACATCACAAATGTACATACATTTCTTAACGTCTTCACTGGGTCTTGTAATATCTATTTACTTAAGCATCTCACCTTTGAAACAGTGCTCTGGAAATATATTTTTTAACATTTTATCCAGTATTACATCACAAATGTACATACATTTCTTAACCTAATAAGACTACCATACGTCTTCACTGGGTCTTGTAACATTTATTTAGCATCTCACCTTTGAAATAGTACTCTGGATATATATGTTTAATATTTTATCCAGTATTACATCACAAATGTACATACATTTCTTAACGTCTTCACTGGGTCTTGTAATATCTATTTACTTAAGCATCTCACCTTTGAAACAGTGCTCTGGAAATATATTTTTTAACATTTTATCCAGTATTACATCACAAATGTACATACATCTCTTAACCTCATACTACCGTACGTCTCCCATGATTCATCAAAAAACTGTACGGTAAATGCCTTTCCCGTAAAAAACATATTATAAATTATGTTTTTGTATTACTTAAATTCTCTGGTAGTTAATAACTTCCAAATATTAACTAATAATTGATCCTGAAATAGCCATATCCAGGGGTATGAACTAACATTTAGTCCACTAGTCCTTAAAGAAGGGCAAATTTCTGCAGGCTAAAACGTCACCTCAGCAAAACAGCACCGCATTTGGCGAAAACGTCACCTCCGTTTTTTATTATAACGATAAGAACGATGTATGTAGTAGTATTTATGATTCATTTACATGTTATTTGATGTATTTGATTATTTACATTGTCATTTCCTGTGTTCTACCAGTTATTCACAGATAACTACAGAGATTCACAATCATAAAGTTCTTCACAGTTCTTCATGGTTGTCATCTTCATCACAATATCGGCCCATGTACCGTATTTTCTTGAGTATAGTGCGCACTTTTTTTTCGAAAAAACACAGCTGTGTGGAAGGGGGTGCGCATTATACACGAATTATGAGTTTGGATGTTTTTTCCCCCCATGGAAAGACATTACCGTGAGCACGAAACACCGGAAATACCATGTCAACAAATCCATACTGAAGTACGCAAAATAATCATGAAATTACACTGTCTGGCTATAAAAAGTGTTCTTTGTATATCTGGACTTATGTTTGTAACTTATTTCATTAATTTTATTCAAAATTCCTTATAATATTGTTTTTATTAATTTCGGCGAAATCGTGTGTGAAGCGATCGGAAGATCGCACAACTCACCGTTATTAACAGCAACCACGGTCAGAATACCGCTATTGACGCCTTGAAACGAACTTTAGTTGACGGGTACTAGGGCTGGGACGGGTAACTCGGGTACCTGGGTCAGGTGGGTACAGAGTAGGACCCGGGTACCCACAGGACAACCCCGACCCGTGGTTAGTCACGTGATCTATTGTTTATTAACAAAAATTATCTAGAACTCTATGGTTACACTACAAGTCACTAATGTTCGCATTTCTTTCTGACTATGCACCCATTCCTTCTTTCATATGGGTGAATATAGATAAAACTCAAATCAACTTAAGTGTATGAATGACCCGGTTGTTTAATGCATGTATCTAAATACTTTTTGCTAGGGCTATTCTAAAAATGTTCCCAATTGGACATTTTGAGACATC